TGACATTTTGAAATGAAAAATCTTCCTGGATGGAAGAGAAACATCTTCAAACTTGGAAACAAAGTCCAGTGGATTCATTTTTTTAACTTTTCTGGAATCGCAATGCGCTCTGTTTACTCTCCACTACTTACAGGTTATTTGTGGAATCGTTCCTTTCCCTCCAGCGACGCCTTCCTGTCCCTGAACTAACCACTTACAGCTTTCCTTCCTGAAACCTGCGTATGATTTCTCCCCACTTTACAGGATAATTATCTAGACTCGCTCTGGAGACGATGGCTCCGCAGGTCGGGGTACGTCTGTAACCGGTGGGTTGCCGGTTGGAGCTCCTGCTCTAGCGCCTCACCTGCCCTGCCTGCGGTAACCCCTTACAGGTTACCTTTTCACAAACTCTTTTTTTTAGCCAGGCTTTAAGCTCACTGTACCAGAACAAGGGTTCCCAAAGTGGGGGTCGGGGTCACAACAGTTTTCACAATCATTGTTTATTGCACCCTAATATTAGCTGCCTGTTGCACGTCAGAACTGATGTCTACTGGGACAGTTCCTCTGTCAGGATATCAGAGATTGAGAACTATTTAGATTTGACCTGGGTTTCAGATTCCTGTTTATATCTATTTTTATTTTTATCTGTGTATATAATATGTATATACTTTTATATACATGTTTAAGCCACATTTGACATTTAAATATGATTCCCATTAGAATTTAAGTTCAAATTAAAGTAATGTATAAATTACTGTAGAATAATGTTATGGCTGTTGTGTTATTTTGTGTTGTCAATATGCTTGTGTTTGGATACGCCTATAGTGCGTGTGTACTTTATATACGTTTATAGTCACTTGCACCGTTACTGTGGGGGCTTGAAGTTTTGGGAACCCCTGTTTTAGAAGCTACAGATTACGCTTCCATAACAGAGATTATTCCTGGAACCTGCAGGCTCTTCTGGAAGGTTTCCTTGGTCTCACAACTTAACTCGATGTTTATTTAGATGTTACATTCATGCACATTGCAGACTAATCTCCTAAATTTGCACGTCAGTTTCCCTCTGATGAGTTTCTAGAACATACTACCTATTTCCCAGGACTTCCATGTTACTTGTAAGAAAATTACAGGTTGCTCTTTGGCCCCTCAGAGGCTTTTTTCTTAATGTTTTGTAAAGTAATGAAAATACAGTGTAGGGTCCAGGTAAGTTAACCGTCAGGTTTGGGGGGAAAAGGATGGTACGTATCTCTTACAACATTTTCTACAACATTTAAAACAAATGCATTAGGATCCCATTGATAGTGTGTTTTTCTTGAAGTTATTCTTTAAAGGAAAAGTCTGGTCAGCAAGGAATAATCAATGGATCAGTATTTATACATAAAAATAATACGTTTGCGATGCTTTAGCCTCTTAACACCCACCTCGTTTTAGAAAAATTTCGCCTATTTTGCATATCCAAATGGAAAAGCAAATCACGTAGGAACTAAGCCCAAATTACATGTGTGAAACATTATTTTAAAGCTAACACCTCCTATTTTCTGAATATATACATGAAAATTGGGTGAGTAAAACACAGCCCAAGCTGCATCAGTTCAAACATGACTCAAAGTTTTTTTATTCTTGAAAATAATAGATCTTTTTTGAGCAGCAGTAATAAAGACATGCTTGCCTTTTGTGGCTCTCTGTCATGTTTACATTTTGACCTGCTGCTATATCTGTTTAATTGTGCTTTGGTGCTCACTGTGTCCATAATATAAACTTGAAATGTGGAGAAACATTTTACCGCTATAATTTTCCTGCATTCTGAGTTATTAGATGTAAACGCTTTAAAACAGGTCATCAGAGACCCGGTGGGTTTGGAGAGGTAAATCCTTAAAAAAAATAATAATAATAATTTTTGCTGTGATCACTGAGTCAGGGAGCGGCCATTTTTTCTCAAATATAGTAGCCCCTCCCTCCTGCCATCTTCCAGCAG